CCCTTGAACTGTCATTTTGGTTTGTGTTCTTTGGTTTTTTCCCCCTTCACTCCCATACGGCATTTACAATTTGAACATTTACTTTCCCTTTGCAGTTGTGCCCTGAAGGGGGAGGCAGTGAGATTAATAAGGTATTGAGGCTTAAGAAGCCTTGAAAGAAATAGGAAACACTTATATTAAAAGGTCTGTGAATTTGTTTGAATGAAAATCTAGCTATATATTTTGCACATTGTTTGTAAGGTGATAATTAAATTTACCCTTAGGACCTCTTAATAGATTAACTTTGAGCACACAGACAAAAATTAAAACAAACAAACAAAAACCCACACACAACAAAGGGCCTAAAGCTTCTGTACAGTAAATAACCACAAACTCCTGACTATGAGGGAGGAGACAGTGATCAGCATCTTTGAGGGGGCCACAGGTGGAGAAATCAAGCCACAAAATTCCATCCAGCAACCCCTTCCACGGCAGTAGTGACACCCCAGGTGTTTCTACCGCGAAACTCTAACCATGTACACTGCATTTCATCAGCTTTGGGTGATAGCTGTACATGAATTAGGGCAACCACCAAAAGAGCAAAGCAAGGACTGAGAGTAAATAAACAAATACACAATGCAGACTATTCAAATGCAATAGTAAATAAAAAAACTGCACAAAGTGAAAGCAGCCACTACTCCTTGCCATAGAATTCTCCCTTCTGGGTGAACACTAACACCAGATCAGGACCAGCACTTTGATGCCTACAGTCCTTTGGGCAATTTTATTTTCAAGTCAAATTGCTATTTCCCACTATGAATTTAATTTCTTAGCCACCTACATGGCTCAAATGCAGTTTTACTTTCTTCTTTGTTACTCATTTTGCAAATCCGTTATAGAGCATTTTTTCCACAAGCTTCCAGTTAATTTATTGAAATCATCTACTTGGTTTAAAAAGAAAGATAAAAGTACTAATTACTCTCAGCTATGGCCTAATCCACCAAGAGCATCACTCACTCTTACATACTGTACCTAGATTAACCCCAGATGTCACTATAATACATGGGTTAAACTTGGCTCTCACTTAAACTGTTATAATTCCAGAGTAAGGTCATGTTGCTAAGAGAAGTTATTCTAAACTCACTCTAGTAATAGATCAGAATCTTTGTTATTTTATACATTTTGTCTATTCTATGGATTACATACTATCCGCACTAAAAAGTTATCTAGAGTAAGCATCAAAATGCTTGCATAAGCAATAAGCAACTGCTCCTGATGCAAAGAGAAATATTTAATACTTGCAGGCTGCATGAAATTTATTTCCTCCCTTCCTAATATTTATCCACCGCATACTCTTACAATAACTTTAGCACTCTATAAACTCACGTCACTTATTTCACATATTAGAACAATACAGTCCAAGCCCCCTCATGTATTAAAAATCCTGCTTATAAAAAGTAGCCTTCGTACTGATTTATCCAAAATTCAGGTGAAAATTTCTCCTTTTAAGTCAGTGTAACGTTAAGCTCAGTATCAACCATTTTCACCTTTGTTACTCCAATTTGATGTTACACTGGTAACTGCAGTGCTCTATACATGTAGTCTTACTACTGAAGTAGCACAGTGAAGAACCAGATACACTGCTTGAACTTTAAATTTGATTTGTGCTTTGAATGTTTTACTTTTTGTTGGGTTTTTTTCCCCTCTCCTTATTTTTGCTCTTGCTTGTGGCATTTCCTGAGACCAAGGAAACATCACAGAGCATTCCTTTTTGTCAGCTCTACAACATCTTGTGCAAAATGCTGTACCTTCAGAACTGGTCAAAAATACTTTTCATTTCATAAAGGCTCTTAGAAGTCTTTTTCTGATCAAATTTCTGGGTTGTACACCTCTGCACAATGCACTTTTTTTGTTATGTCTAGACAGAATTAGACACCTTTCAGTCATTCTTACTTTGCTAGGCACCAGATATTTAAGTTTTATACCTCTTTAACATATGTTTCAAGCTTAGCAATTTTGGTAACTTGTCTTGTTTAAATTTAATATTTTTCATCCATACTTAATAACTATTCTCCTACTGAGGAATTATCTTCATAAACACTCAGACCATGATGGGCTGTATACATCTTTCACCTACTCAGCTGTGGTACCAGATGTGACAGGCTTAGCCTACAAAGTATTTGTAGAGGAAGCAGAAATATTTATGGTGCCATAGAAAATACTTGTGGTTGATTGACTCACACAAGGGATATAATTGTTATAAAAGATGATATTAAATAGCTGAAGATACAGTATTTGTAATGATCACACACAAAAGCAAATGGCAAGAATGTAAATGCTTGTTGCAGTCCTGATCAAATTTCAGCATGGGGAATTACACTCTACTTAACCAAGTTATCTAGTTACTGGAGCAGGCAGCCTGCCAGCCTTTGCTTCTTGAGTGTCAGCTGTTGGTTGTCATGTTCCATGCCAGACTTAGCAGACTTTCCTCAAAAAAACAATTTCTTTCATTTATAATTCAGCAACATCCCTTGATTTTTGCTGGGCTCAGGTTATGTAAACTAATTTTGTATTTTGCCATTAATTAAATGTGTTTGCCAGAAACACATTTAGAATGATGCAATGTATCAAGTAGCAATTCTAGGGGTTGCAGCATACAATACCTGTTCTGCAAAGAACTGGAAACCCTTATCTTCACGAATACATTCATAGGTTTCTCCAAGTACAGGATTAAATGGCTTACTTCCAGCTCGGTAGTAACTGGATGCATACGCAGAGACTGCAAATGCAGCTATATACACCTGGGAAGAACATATTTTGCATTTTGATTAACTAACTTATGACAGAAATGAAAAAAAAAGTTATCCTAACATCAGATTCTGTATTTTTCCCATCATTTGCAAAACTACTCACGTGCATGTCTCCTGCAAGTTAAGCCCTAGTTCACGCATTAGAGAATTATTCAGTTTTCAGAGAGTCAGTCAATAGTCCAGGAATGGAACTATTAGTGTCAGACACCGCAAATCTCATCAATCGAAAAAAGCATTTCTGAAAAGTGTTTGAAACAGCTTAGCATTCTGCAAAAGAGCTCAAAGCAGTAACCTTAAAAATCACTGTTAGATTTTGTATAATAACTGACTTTTATAGTTATGGTCTGTGATTCCATAGATCTACCAACTATCCTTTATCTAAACATGGCACAGGAAGCATTGGATGAATTTTCACCAAGCTTGCTATTTCTAAGGCGGTTTGAATTAAATTATCTTTTATCTACTGTGTGCTATGACTTAATCATGAAACTGTTCTTGATTAGGACTCAGACACAGGTAACCCAAATTTTTGCAGTCAGCTCAAGCACAATTCCTTCTAAACATGAGGATTTAGAATTTGGGGTTGTTTCATTCAAATCTTTTTTGTACTATTTTTCTGCTTTCATTTCCTTTTCCTCATCTTATGAAGGTGTAGATGCTCTCCTTTCACAGTTTCAGAAACCAAATCCACTTAAGAAAGTCTCTTTTATGAACTATTGCAATTACTATGCAACATCCAGAAATAATTTTGCCTCAGGAATTTCTCAAAGGCAAAGATTACTCCTTTCTGACGTAATTTCCAGATGCTTGGGAAAAGCTTCTTTTCACTCCCCTATGAAAAACTACTGCTCATTTCCTTTTCCTGTTAGCATATGTTCTCAAGAGAACAAAAGAAACTATGGACTGGAAAACCCCGGTGAACAGCCACACCCTGGGAACAGACCCTAAATTGTAACCCTTGAGACTGTCAGAATGAGGCAAGAGGCTTTTCAGAAAGTATTTGTAACATGACTATTTACATTAATTTATAACCTTATTTTAAGATAAGATATATTGAGTTGAAAAAGCTTAATTCAGTTTATGGGAAAAACTTTATCTTCCTTTTAAGAGAATTTAGGGAGTTTCTAATCCTTTATTTATGGGCTTACATATTAAGTAGCTCTTGTACACCTGGAAGCAGAACAACTGAAATGCATTTTTCTCTTGTTCTTTTCAAGTGCAGAATTCAGAGTTCTGCACTGGCAGAAGATGACACCATTATTGTACCCAGCATACAATCGTATTGCTTGGTTTTGAGATCCTGAACATTTTGGATCAACCCCAAAACTTCAGAAAACCAGTTCATAAAAAATATTGAGCTCATTTAGTTAATACAGAGATATCACAGTTTTGTCGGGCTGGAAGATCCAGCATCCTCTATGTACAAATGTGTTCCCAGATCAGACACCCTTGAAAAAAGAGACATTGTAGTTTTCATACTCAATCCTCTCCTCCCTTTTTGCTGTAAATTTTTAATCTTACAGAGCAAGAGCTGCAAAACAGAACTAAGCTCCTTTTCTGTTTAAACTTGCAGAACAGCAAGGTACTTGAGAAAAGAGAGACTTCCTGAAAAGGCAACAGAAATGATGTAGAGGAGTCAAAAGTAGTGGCTATGTAAATAGGTACAGACACATATTTGGAGAGTTTGCCTCTCTCAGCTGAGAGAAACAGAAAAATGCAACCGAACATCTTCATTTCTTTAGCACTGTTTTTATATCTACTCTATTGCAATTATATTGAATGTTACCAAGTATTTGGAATAACATATTTACCATCCGTTCAAATGGGTTTGGTGTGTGTGCTGCTTTATCCAGTAGTTCACTGTACTCCAGCTCCTCGCAGAGACGCTGAAGGGTGTTAAGCGGCTCATTTAATTCAACGGGCATGGCCACTTTGGAGAGATCCTTTCCGATGTTGTTTCTCAGGATATTCCATAGGCTGATGTTACTCGTATTAGGACATGGAGCTGGTAAACATGTTCTCCGTTTAGAATTGCATCCAATTCCACTTTCAGAAATACAGTCTGAAAAGGAAGTGGCAGAACAAGTCAATTCACACTTACTTAGTTTCATCCCCTTTGCACACATACATTAAAATGCAACCATCTTTTCTTCTGTCAAAACTTCCTCCCACCCACAATTCATTCAAGTATTCCACTTGTGGTTTGAAGATAGCCTGTTATAAAAACGACAAAATTAAGAACAGGATTTTATGTATTTTAACTGAGGTAAATGCCAGGTACAAAAGATGAGTAAAAAATGACCTTCCTTCCCCTTAAAGGATGTAAGAAAAGACTCAGACTTTCCATTGAATTTGAAAGAGTAAATATTATAACCATTTTATTTGTAACAGAGATGGATTCCTATCTGTTTGAGGGACATAAAACCTCCTTCCTTGACAGAGCTTCAATTAAATTGACACTTCTCAGAAGGCGAGATGTAACTTACAGATTTAGGGATAATAACAACTCCTACTGATCTTTTCCTACTTTTTTGAATACTCCTACCAGGGAAATTTACTGCACACAAATTTACATGCAGACTTTTCCACAGTGTTCCTATAGCATTTAAACTTTTTTAGTGACGTTAGCTTTGAGATACGCCCATACAGTGATTGGAAATGTTTTAAAGGTGGAAAAGCTGAAAAAACTCTGGAGCTACGGGTTTGCTAAAGATAAAAAAAATAAAAATACTCAAGTCAAGAGTCCTTGACACGAAAATCTGAAGTCTGCGTTGCTACATCAAAGCCATTCGAACACGATAAATAGTTCTAAGTGTGCCACGAAATGATTTGTAGCAGGATCCAAATAGAGCTACAAGCTTCTGCAACAGGCACTAGTCTGAAGCGATTACGTTGCTTAGCTGTACATCACCTTCGTTTCAGAGAGGAATGTGTTTGCCTCTACAGAAACATACTTTATCTTTACACATCCTTAGGAGCACCTAGTAAGCTGCTGCCTTAGGATCACTTAATATTTGGAGACCTTCGGGCGTAGCCTCCGTCTGTCAACCCCCATCCTTTCCTGGCTTTCCTCACACAGCTTTGTCTCAGAGGAATTAAAACCACACCAGGCAGCACATCTCTTCCGTGCTGCACATGCCCAAAGCATCCCTGCCCTTAAAAGCACAATTTCAAAGAGCATTTCTTCTGCTGTTCCACTGACATAAGCATGGTGTCAGCAGTGCTTCCAGCAGTGACAGATAATCCCAAGGACAAACTTTTCCATGCCTGCTAGCCCACACCTCACATGGAGATTTTAAAGTATAATCAGCAGCCTCAAAGTTTTGAGAAAGAAGTTTCCATCTTTCCTGCCACTTGCAAACTAGAAGTCCTAATAGCTTATGTGGCTGAGTTACTGTAAAAAGGACAGGTGAACTATTTGCAGTCCCTTGCCTGTATCTTTCTTTTTGCATAAAAATGGCATGGGTACTATGAATCAAAAAATCTACCTGAAACAATTATACTGTTGAGAATTAAAAGATTGGCTCCTATACTTCCCTATTGGAAGAATTTATTTAATACCAGAAGAGGCCAAAAACAAGGATGTTCCCTTACATACCTCAGGAATGAGGAGATATCTGGAGAAGGAGGTAAATGCTAAAGATTTATCCTTGATTACAAGAGATCCCAGATATAGGATTCTGGCTACTAACTGACTTATTTACACATTCTGCAGCAGCCCGTTAATTGGGGTAAAATGGTGAAAAAACAGAGTAGAGTAAGAACTAAGATATTGAGATACCAAATATTCTATACACTGAAGTTTGCCCACCCCCCATTACAGAAAAGCCTCTGCAGTTCTGGTTTGCAGGAGCTGTGACAAATAGACAGCATCAATACTTAAGGAGATTCGTACATCTGACTATCAGCTAGACTCAGTGACCTTTAAGGCCAACCTGGACCATTATCAACATCTGGTCTGACCTTCTACCTTACAGTGGCCAGAGGATTTTATCATAATCACACAATTTATGGTGCAGCTAAAGCCCTGTAGAAAAAAGACACCCAGCTTTCTATTAATGGCAGTGGCAGGCTGCCCAAAGCACAGAAATAGCAGGTACCAGAAGCACGCGGAGGTACTGCTGATACGGAAGAGCTTCAGTGACCGCCTTTGTTACAAGAAGATGAACAGTCACATTAGTACAGTTTTCTAAGGTCCTGATCATGATATTAAATAAATCTGTATTCTTTCCTATCTTACCAAAAAGAAAAAAAAAAATCTTCATTTTTGAACAGTTACAAAATACAACAATTCTCCAGGCATATCAAACTACCCAGGTTCATAGGGATCTGCGGGTCCTTGGAGATGATCAGGAAACAGTTGCCAGTGAGAAATCAGTGTTCAGCATTTTTGAAGATAAAAATACATTGTTAGAGTGGGAAGAACATTGTGGTTAGCTGAAAGGAGTGCAAGGCACAAAGCTGATCAGTTTATTATGATCAATTCTTCTCCCTCTTTTTTTGAATCTCTTTCTAATTTGAAAGACAATTAAATTAGCATATGTACTGACAAGACTATCATGATTAAAACATGCACCAGGCCTGCCAGTGTGCAATTATTCTCACATTCCTTTAAACATGAGTTCTGCTAAAACAACACAATTCTGAATGGGGTTGTTAAATTGCAGACTGAAAAAACAGTGCGACAAGAAGAAAATTACTTTTTGAAAAAAAAAAAAATCAGTTAAGCCTTGCTACTTTGAAAAATCCTGTGGCCATGTGAAACTGAGAGGGAGTGGGAGTTGCCCCAAAGAAGTCAAGAAAACAGGTGTTTCCCTGCTGATACAGAACCACTATCCTGCTTAATCAATGGTGGCCAGGCCCTGTTAAACAGTTTAGCCAGAATCTGCTGTTCAAAACAAATCTGAGGCTAAAGAGAAAAAACACAGGCTGTTTACATCTCAAAACCTATAATATCTAATTATCTAGTCAGAGAAGAAAAAAAATATCCTAAGCAAACAGAAACAAAGAAAATTCTCAAAACATGGTGTAAGAAAAAACTGAACTTACCTAAAGTTTGTCTTTCGTTGTCCATGTCATTACTTAGGTTATCTTCTGAGACATTATCACTGATATCACTTACATATGAGTCATCATCCGATACCTGAGTGTGGGGGAAAAAAGCAAGATTGTATCACTCATTAAAATAACCCCATATGCATGAGAAAATTGTTACTTTCTGCTGCAATTATTGTTTTAATATATTTGAACCGTTTTCAGTACTACAGAAAAATGCTACAAACCCCTAAGAAGACACCATTGAGTTTGGGAGATATCACATCATTGAAAATTCAACTACTCTTTTAGTGGAGACATGCTTGGTCTTCTTGGCCTCATAGCTAAGAAGGGCTTCCTCATATCAAAGACCAAGGTTTTTACGGAGCTCAAGAGAGGTGACAAAATGAGCTAATAAATTTCAATGTGCATGACATCAGCCACAAGGTACCTACAGATACCACAAGGACAGCTATGAATAACTATTTCTGTGATGCGACTCCCTAAGCACCTGTATGATGAATGAAGGCAGACAATACAATATATGCAGTATCTGCATAGTAGCTACCTCATTGCCATCTGCCTCAATGTGTATATAAGAGTTCTCCACAATAATTGCTACACCTTACTGTGAAGAGACAAATGGCATATTACTTTCTAAATGTTTTGAAAATTCAAATTTTCTGGAATTCTAATGTACAGTTGGCACTCAGAAAGACTACATGTCAATTAGCAGATAAGAAACTACATCAGAATGATATCAATCTTATTGCTCAGACCTCATTTTCTGAAGAACTAGCAGACAGTAGGACTTCCTGTGCATCAAAAAATTCTGTGAGAGAGTCAGCTATAGACAGTCTGCTTTCATTGGAGACCTGGTGAACAAGACCTCTGCCTTCTTCTCTTGAATTTTCCTGTTTAAAAGAAATAAAAAATTTTGAGAGGGGAAGTACCACAAACAACATTTATGCATGCAATTCCACAATCACATAACTTGAAGGGCTGTAAAACACTGGGAGAAGATTGCACATGCTTCTCTCCAATTTAAGTGAAAGGTAACATGTGTTTCAAAGAGGGATTTAAGACTAAAGTAAAACAGACCAAAGAGAAGAAGGAATAAAGAAGGCAATAAAAGCAAAGCCTATTCAGTAAATCAGTTATGTGCTGCATGTAAAAATGTTTTGCTATTTTAATGATGTAACATCAAAAAGCCCACAAGAGGACAAAACTCCCACATCTTTATATTACATCCTAGATTCATGCTCCTTTATGATCTTGGAAAATGAATCAGTCTTTTCCTCCCTAAGCCTTGCTTATTGCAAAGCCTGCAATACAGTGGTGTACAAAATTCAGAGAGGCAAAGTTGCCTTCTTTATAATAGAGTGTTTTCCTAGCTCTTTTTCTTCACTAATTTTCTATGCTGTTCTTTGGAAAGCTTTCCTTCATATCCACACCGGAGATATCTCCCATGTTATCCAAAACCAACACACTATCAAAACCATGTAAGCGGAATTGCTTTTGCTGCTGGAGGGACAATTGATTGCCACAGAGATCTTGATAACTCCTCCCATAGAAGATCTACAGATTGGTGTAAGCGAAGTTCCAAAATGTAGCCTAGCAAAGGTGAGGTGACCAGTGAGACTTGGCTCATTCTGTGGATACAGTAAAAAAGCTGGAGAACACTGAGCACTGTTGTTTTTCCTGATAATTCCACCAATACAAAGGAAGCTGGCCCAAAGGACTGTATTAGCTGCTTTCAAGTTTTTCAGCATGACGTGCTTTACTAACTTGTAACCATGACTGTTCTATCACAATTTTGCAGGAATTGTAGTATTTTATTTTCAGAAAAACATAATGAACAGTCTGATAAATCTATAATCAAACTGACAAACCTTCTTTCAAAGCTTTTCTGTTGGTAGCTTTTACTATTGTATGGAATGTTATTCAGTACATGCTGATAATGGTGACATGGAAATAAAACAAACTGCTATACAAAAGACTTAAAAAAAACCCCTTCTGACACAGCAGGGAAAAAAGAGGAAACCTTAATATTGTCTCTTCTGTGGGAAGGCAGTTACACTAGCCTACCAGTAAAAGAAAATAAAATCTTACACACATAAGCATTGCTACTGGGATTGTTTCCAATACTATTTTGAATCTGAGAAGAAAAGTGAGCAGGAAAGATTCATAAAAGAACAGCAGGTTTTTATATCTAACACATAAGTTTCTGGTTGTCTTCTTCCATGTTCCCACTCTGGCATGATGAATTACAATTAAACTACCCAATAGACAAACTAAACTTTTCCTTTAGGCAAAGGCTTGAGATACTATCTTACACTGCTTCAATTTTCACAGGTGAATCATAGCACCTGATGTATCACTTAGTGACAAGTTTTGTGCAGTGACCCTGTCTTCTTCAGAGCAGCACAACTGTATCACAGTCCTCAGACAATTTTAAAATTAAACTTCTCCAGTATAAGTGACTTTAAGTTCCATCCCACACCTTGCCAGAGGGAATTTGTGAATTAAACCTCTAAGGACTTTCTGAAATCTGTTTCTGTCATGTATGTCTCTATGTGTGTATAATGCATAGGACAAGTTTTGGAAATAATCCATTGTCACTGCAAGAACAATGCATGTCCCCTAAATAAGAAAATAAAGAACTCCTGAAATTAAATAACAGTGCATTAACACTTTTCTGGATAGCAGTTTAAGTGTTGTTCAAATTCTCATGGGATTAAAAGCAAAAGGCATTAGAATGATCAACTACCTTAAGGAAGAAAACCCCAGAAACTGAACAGCTAAATATGACCAATACACAGCTCCACTGAAACAGAACTAAGCCAGAAGTGAACAGATGGAATGACTAAACTGTCTTTAAAAAGAAAAGGAAATAATTAGTTATATAAAACCCCCAGCATTACATCCACTCAAGTTCTAATGGAAGATTTATACTACAAGCACAGCAGAGGTTTCTGTATGAGTTAACATATAGGAAAATCCATCAGAAATAACACTGTTCTGGCTTCCCTCACTAACACCATTAACACTTAGATCTTATGACTTTTAATTACACCATATTCACATGCATCCTGCAGTGAACCAAAAGACTGTCTGCACATCAATGCATCTCAAAGTGGCTAACTGGATATATAGAAGACTTCCTGCCTTGACAAAAAGAAAACTAAATGGCGGAAAGAGCTCTTGTATGTCCAATTAACTTTGATCCTTTCATGGAAATGCCTGATAAGTGTTCTAAACCTTACACGATCCACACTAGTAGCCAACATTCTGGGTTAACAATACTTCGACAGTCAACAAAAGGTCTACAGAACTTGAAAGTTAACAAGGGACTAAGGGCAATAGAAACAGCAGCATGAGGGTAACAAGGTGGCAGCTCTGTTCATGCTGAATAAGAAGCAGGCAGGAGGTGAGGGAGAACACCAGGAACCAGTAGTAAAAAGCAATGGAAGGTGTGCTCAGGAAACCTGCTCACAAGGAAAGTCTTTGAAATCAAATATCACACAACGCATCATCAGACGTGACTCACAACCACGAAAGCAGACTTGATTTGCTAACACAATACACCACAGGGGAGACATCAAGAAAGGACAAGATGCAGCTACGCAGCACTGTCTAATGTAGGGGCTTGAGGAACAGACATCACTGAAAGAGGAAATCCATACCCACCTTCACCAAATCTGGACTTGATTTTGCATTAGATGCTGAATCAAGGATCATAGATTCGGCATGTATTCTGCGTAACCGGTCTTTAAGATCTGTATTTTGTGCTATTGCCTGGAATATTTAACAAAAATATTGGGGATATAAAGTTCTCTCAACTAACTCGAATGTGGGTTTATTGTGTAAACAGGGGTAAAGAGTATTTAAAGTGCAGTATAAAACACCACCACATAATTTTTTACTGATTCAGCAAATCATTTACCTTAAATTCTTCAAACCTTACTCCTTATCTCTCAAATTAAAACTATTTTTGTTCAGTGTGAGGGAAAAGACACATAAGTGGAAAAAAAAAGTCAGAGATGGCAGGGATATTTCAAGGTTTGCAAGTTGATTTCATAAGTTATAAATTAATTTTGTGCATCTTTTTTCTTTTCAAGCTCCCTTCCTTCACCTCCATCTCCAGCCTAGCCTCTCTCAACATTAGTTTTTGCCACATCCAAAACCATTTGATTTTCCCATATTGACAGTTCCCTTTGCCTTCCACTGACAGAGAAATAAGACTTAAATTCTCACAGGCACAGGTACAATTCATGTCCTATCAGATTATAATAACAATGATCAGAATAAAAAGCCTCTACTGCAAACTCATGCTTGTTACATGTTATTTATTCATGCTGGGTGCATCTGATGGACAAATGTCAACTAGAGTAGACTTGTAGGAAGAGAGTGCAACCCTGCCTGCAATGAAAATATCTTTGAAATAAAAGACTGGGTTACTAATTTTGGACCAATACTGAAGACTTAATGATCTGAATCAATATCAGGACATGGAGAACCCTGCTGTTTACACATGCCTGTTATCCCACAAATGCTTCTGATTCTGGAAGTGCTTTTTGTTGAAAATCACCTTGGGGGCAGGAAAGACAAGTAAGTTCAAAGTGATGATGGAGGGGAGAAAATAATTTCTGGCTTTACCTATATGTGGGCTGAATTTGCCATACAGGTATATAGCACTTCTGCATCAAGTGTTCAGCACTGTGTTATACCCACAACATCAGGTAAGTGCAAAACAGAATTTACACAGCTGCCCCGTAATACCATCTTCCCATTTTCATTGTTTGCTACAGAATGTTTTCTTCCTTCTGGTTTCTTCTTCCTCTCCCAAACCCAAAAATACTGTATTTATTCTCATTCTGTATTTGCTTTTCTCAGATTGTGTGTAGGTCAAGGATACTATCTTAATGAGGGAGAAGCACAGGCAGAGATGCTAATTTTGTGGTGTTTTACCCACTTTACATCTGTTCACTTTTCTTCCCCTGCCAGGCTGATGAGAGCAAAACAGAGCTATGTTTGATAGCTTTAAACCTGTGAGTCTGATTTTTTGTTTCTCCTGTACAGAAAACAATTAAAATGAACAACAACAAACATGAAGTCAAAGTCATCAACACAGGACTCTCTCACAAGGAATTCTTTAAAATATGTCAAGTTTATCATATCTATCTTTCCATATGTTTCCAAATAAAGCTTATTCCTTTCTCCTATAGGATCTCTGCTGTACAGGGTGAGAAAATTTCTTTTGGCATCACGGCTTTGCAGATCTGCAGGCTAAGAATAGCCCTCAAAGGCGTTAACCTCTGTTGAAACTGCCAAGGTTCACAGATGACTTCTGGATTGGCTACAAAAGGCTTATTAAGTATCAGATAAGACCTAAAAGAATTGCTTTTAAAAGACATGTACAGGATGAAGATGGACAACAGAATTTCACTGCCTAAAAAACCAAACTAATTCATGCTAAACTGAGTGTTCACTGAGTTCAGCAATCTTAAAACTGATTTTTTGATATAAAATGGTAGGCAAATAACCCTGGAAAATAAAAATCACCTATTCGAATATCGAAAGAGGAACATCTGAAAGCCAAAACCAAAGAAGTGCAAGTGAGCGAGTATAGTTATTATGCACCAGGCTTCAGCTTTCTCTAAATGCTATGAAGACATCATGGTCTCTAAAGGTCTAGGCAAAGAGGTATGTTAAAAAACTATAACCACATGTAGCTTTTGTGAAGCAAAGGGAAGTCTTCATACTGAAATAACTCTAAGATGATCTACATCACATTGATCAGTGTCAGAAATTCTCCCCTGCCTCTGATGCGGTATTTGCAATAAACACCAAAATTTTACGGCCATAGTAATGACGGCCTTCATTGCTCTGAAATCAGATCACTGTTCAGTAGACACACTGAAACATGACCAATCTGAAAGTTCTGGTGTCAAACAATTACATAAAGCACACCAACCAAACACTCCCCCTCTCCCTTTTTTTAAAGAGCACAATCTTTTGTCATTTAGAACTCTGCCCTACCAGCTCCATCGCTGCTATTAGAGGACTAAGAGATAATTAAGGTTGGAAGTCAATGTAAACAAGTTGTACTAGAATTTGCTTTGCAGTGTCTTGGTGCAGCATGATGAAGCTCTAGTGCATTAGAAGGGACAGGGTAGTGCTTTCAGCCACTCTCACCTTTATTTTATGCCAGGTCATACAGTGAACACTCAAGTGCTGTTTAGGTAAAGAATAAGGAAAAGGAAACCTGCAAGCTACCAGAACTGGGTGATTAAACAGTGTATGTTTAGAAAGAAAGTAGACTCATAGTCACAGAGCAACCCTCTGATTCTTAACATCAAATGATACAGATTATACTATATACCTATATCAATCCATCTATCAAACTTCAATGGTTTGACAATACCTTTAACATTTAGGAAAGAGTCTTTGAAAAACACCATATGTAGAACTTGCTGTGATTGAGTTCTGCAAATTCTAGCAAAGAATAGACACCAAAGAATCAGAAATTATCTACTATAAAATTTAAAAGTAGTATCTGATGACAATGAAGCCCAGTGAATTTCAGCATGTCACTTACAGATGATAAGGCATTCTTCAAGCCCACTATTTGTGCAGATGGAGATGAAGATGCATCGTGCTCCAGCATCTGCTTCAGCTTTTCTCTCTCAGTAGATATGGTGCTGAAAGCTGACCTCAAGGTGAAGTAAACTAGAACCATTTCGTAAAAAGTGACAGTTAAAAACAGCTGCTACCAATTGTATGTGTACTAATTACGTAAAACTTAAATAAAACATCATTTATGGTGACAGAAACAAGAATTTAGGTTGAGAGATCCAGGATGGGTTACTAAAAACAAATAATATTAATCAAGGTTATAGGGTAGATTTTTAGTAGGAGAAATGTTTACGGTGAATGCTACTGTGTTGACTATATTAGCCACAGTCAAAATTACTCTGATTATTTGTGACAGATGGCAACAAAGCTAACTAACCACATCTGCTCTTCACTTGCTTTTGTTCCCCAATTAGCTTGAATCTTCAGATGGTCATGATTCTATTCCACATTCCTTTATAAATTCCAGTGTGGGAGAAGAAGAGATGAAAGAAAAAAAATTAAGTAGGAAAAAAGTCATCAAAAAAAGCAGCTGTAACACATTGTGCCACAGCTATAGGGTTAGTAGTTTCCCTGCAAGCAAGTCAACTGTGGTGTTGAGTTTTGTTATCTCTTTCTGTAACAAAGAAATTTCAGCTTGTTAGATGATTTAGTGACTCAAAAGGTCAGATCCTGAATGATATGCATGTTATGCTGCTACTTCTACTCCTTCCTGAGGCACTACCACCAGCCTGATATGTTTAGATCAGACAACAGATCATGCAATTTTAAAATCACTGGATTTTTAGAGGGAAAATACATTTTTTAAAGTTTTTTTTTTTACCCTTAAGACATTTAATCTTCTCTTTAACCACAAGAAATAAAAACATTATTTGAGCAATATTTATTTATGTAGGTTTTCAACATTCAATTAGTTGGAGCATCAGAGGATTTCTGAGGGCCTAATCAAGCCCTGTAATACTATCATGAAAACTGCCCGTGCAAAAATTAGCCCATTTACAGGGAAATTAGGGTAAAAAATCTGGGCATGGATGCATGAAAAGAGCAGTGATCAAGAAATCCCTGATACTCCTCTCTTCTAATCATCCACTCTGAGTTAATCTAATTTAGTCTTCTAAAAAATTAAAGTATGTTCCAACACTGCAAACCATTACCAAAGCTAATTCTCATACTATCCAAAGAAATCTTTAACAGTATCACAGGCGGTGGGGAGGGAGATATATCCACTATGATCTATTCTGTTAGGCTTTCATACATAGATAACATGGCCAGAATCTTCAGTGACCTTAAATACCATTTTTTGTATACTAACTTTAATTTTCAAGAATCATTACATACTAAACTACCAACATTACATTTTATTTAATTTGTATCAAAAAGCTGAAGAAAAAAAAGAAAATGGTTTCTTTGCTATCATTTTTGGAATGAGTGTGCTATAAAGTAACCTTGGAAAAAAATTCTTTGTCCTCTTAGTAAACTGATACTGCGGTAAATAGTACCAAGTTAATTGTCCCTTCTAATGCGTGGATCAATATAACAAAAATTTCCAACACGGACATTTCTGGTAAGATGATCTTGAATAGGTGATTTCTTTGCTCTGCTTAACAGCAACTTCTCCAACTGCACCCCACCCCCATTTCTTTTCTTTTTTTGGAAAACATACATTAGTTTTGACAATAATTGACTTTATCAAGTTTACTACTTAGATACATTCCTTGCATAACAGAATCAAGATATATCAGCACCAGAGGGGAAAACAAGCAGAAAGTGCTTATTGATAACATCAACCATTATCGTGTGCCAAAGGGGACAAAGCCAATACTTCCAAAAGCCTTTCAGCTATAAATGCTTAAGTGCCTTCCTCATCAAGATCACTTAAATAATAAAAATGCTTCTGGTTTGAGGGTGATGGAGCAAAGCACTGCTAATGAAAAATGATTTTGAGGGAAGAAATATTTCTAGTCAAGCTCCCCTTCTGGTTGCTTTGCATGATTTTACTCTTCTTATTCACTAAAAATAGGTTACTACCATAGCAACCCTTGCATCATCAACAAATGTTGACTGAAATACAGTGAAGCACACCGAATACAGAAACATACATGTGCTCATATGCACACATATGCATGCAAACACAAAAGAGTATAATCTTCTGTTGTGTTTCTAGTAATTGATTTCAGGTATTTTACCTCTTGGCAAAAAAAAAAAAAAATTAAAAAAAAGCTAGGTTTTTAGCACATAAAACAAAGGGCTGTCCTCTATTAATAAAAAATAAATAAATCAAAAATGATGATTAAGCCACCTTTTTTAAGTGACCCACAAGTTCAACATGTGCAATTCCTTAAGGAAATTCAAGAGTGTTTTCTGCATTTTCTAAACATTAAACAGGAAGCATTCTCAGCAGTCACACCGTTATTTAAATTGTGATGATATAAAACCATATATGGAAGACAATTTCATTTACCTTTATGTGCAACTTGAAATAAGTCCTCTTGCATTTTTGTAAATTCTGATGATGTTTCAGAGCCATCAGAGTAATTTTTCTCCTCTACAAAATCTATTGTAGATAAGTTTGGATTGGAAGCATGCAGTCTCATAGGGGCAGAAAATACTGAAGGCACCTGTAAGGAGGATGGTAATTTGTGATATTTTTATAAACTGTAAAGAAAATTTTGTTTTATTGTACCCACCTGGGTTACATGTTGGAGACAAAAAAATGAAATAATTACTGTCAATTACCAGTAAGCTTGGAATGGATGACACCTGGCAAATGAAACCAGAGCTACAGCTTTGCCCAAGATACCATAATGGGATAATTGGCAAAACTCAAAAAACCAAGTCCGCTGAGAGCTGTAACATATGCTATATTATTCCCCCCACCTGTAAGTATCTAATCACATGGCCTCTGGATGCAAATGTGTACAAAACTATCTAGAGAATTTTAAAAATCTGTACTGATTAAAAAAAACCACCAGCACAGCCCCCCATATTGGAGACAGACTGAAAACATGGGTAAAATAAACATGGTCAGTCTCCTGGAGGTAACAGGACAGATCCTATTGCAGATATCAAGGACAATATATTTGTGTTTTGTCAGGTATATTACCACTTAAAATGAGCTAGCACAGGACAGCACTTGGAAAGGATTCGTATTTCCTAAACAGGTCATGCCAAGAAGTGATCAATAAGGTTTGGAGGAAGATGAGCCCCTGGAAGGACTGAAGTTACCTGTAATGTTCCTTTAGCTTCTTTCCCAACAACTCTGGATCGCCACCTCCTGTGTGTTCTCTTTTCCTTCTTTGGGCTTTCAAAAGGTCCAACCTTTTAACAACACACAGGACAAAAAACAATACAGATTGCCATATATCTAACAGAGCTAAGGAAGAAATAACTTGATTCTTTAGGATTAGGGTTGTTTTTTTGAATTGTAAGGGAATATGCTTTTTGCTTTTGTTTCTAAACAACAAACCTGCATAGCATTTATAGCAGGCGCTGAATATGTCCTGTGAAGAACATCCATGCTCTGTAACAGCTGGTTCATTTCCAGTAAGTATGTGTGACAGTTGGAGAGGTCTGTTTTGAACAAAAGAATATTTTCAGTTGCCCTAAAGTAACAGACACACTGACAATTTTTTTCTTTGTAGGTTAGTCCTATTTTGATTGTAGCTAGCATAAGTTATTCACTGAGTAAAAGCACAATATTAGAATGCTGGATAAAAAGATTGTGTACTATCTTCAGGTTTAAATTCAAAATACTGAAATGCACCTATATAGTATGTGTAATGATCATGATATTTTTTCCCAGTTGGTTGCAGAAAAATGAGAATAATGTGATAATTACTGCAATTTGGGACTTGTCAAAGCTCCTCATGGTGAGGGTAACAATGACACAGTCTTCAAGTACATTCAGAGCTAGAGATAAGGCTCTTCTATACTTGAGATGAAGTTCAGTGTAGGCAGAAATATAACAAATAAATATCACACAGACACTAACACCATGAGAAAGATCTTCTTGCTCTTAGGAAAGAATGAAAGCAGAAGGTGACTTTGAAGTATAAAGAATTAATGCTTTTTAAATTATTAGATTTTGATGCTTCCCTTTTTTGAATACCCAGCCTAAGAAAGTTCAAATCTTACGACTGAATGTGATTCTCCTATATAAAAGAAAATGTATTGAAATATATAGGTTTCTTGAAGAGGTGTCCACAACTGATACATCCACATCCAAAATTACTAGTCCTTTTGCAAACAACTGAGTAGCCAGTTAATCAACGACCACCTCTTTCCTCCCTCCAGTTTGAGAGAAAACTCTAACAATAATGATGACTTAGGGTATAATACTTTTGTTGTTAAGAAAAACTAGGGGAAATATTAGGCTACTTTCACTTTCCTTCAAATATCATTACCTCTTGAGCATTTTTCCATGTCTTCAGAAGACTGTAGCCAAGAGGAAATCCTGGACTCATTACTTGAAAAGGAAAATGACAAGTTACCTCCAGCTGATATTGAATTCTGTTTGGTCCCTGTCTGTTCCAAAAAAAAAAAAAAAAACAAACAAGCGAATTATTAACAAACAATATTTTAATGTTGTATACACAAATTTTGACAATCAACAGTTGATTTCCATGATCACAGCCAAAGACATCAATTACATGAAGGAAAAAAAGTGTACGATCTAGACTAGGTATACAGTCATTGAGCATAATGGCAGGTTATCTAACATAATTGCTGCCTACAAGCAGCGGAAATACTAAAGGAACCATAAAATTTGCTGAAAACTAAATTTTGAGGTAGGGCAAAGTTCCTCATAAATTAGGTCAACTTAATACAATTAAAGTACCATATCTGAGCAGGATCAAATTTGGACATTCTGTTCCTCCTACATGGTCCCCAAAGAAGCCCCAGAAGTAACTTCAATGTACCATGCACGTGTTTGTTAAAGCTATTTTTCAAGGTAAAAGCAAGATGCACTAGATATTATTTTAAAATTTTACTCAAAGTTGTATGACTTCAGCACAGACTTGGCTCAACAGGCCTTAATACAGGTATGACCACACACCTCATCTGGGTAAATACTACCCTTTTACAACGTCTCAGTAAACATCTTCAAACTTAGCTCAATTTCAGCAGTGTCCACTATCAAGTGTGTCAGGAGATGCTGGAAATTCTCTGTAAGAGCTAACTGAGCAGTACAATTAAATAGTTTCCAATGTGAAGAAATTTCTGCCCAGTTCTACTACCAGTTGATCGTGGCCTATAATGCTGTTTTCTTCTGTAATGTAACTACAAATAATAGCCATTCAAATGCTTGATTATTTGTACACCCTACTAAACCTTTCATTTTCAATAATACCTACATCAGGAAGTTGCACAAATTACATGCTTTGTCAACATCTTGTTTAAAATCAGTTTTAAAATGTTTCACCTTAAGTGCCATTATACAACCAGTTTACTGTTTATAAGAAAAGCTGACTAAATTGTTTGGCTTTTCTCTGAAGCGTACTATTTACAAACTTTGTTACCTCCTGCTCATCTTATATCAAAACTCTGGTAGTACTAGTTTTTAAATCTATTCCTAAGAAACATCATCTACATCTCAGTCTATTGCAGTTTTCTTAGATGGTCTTTTTAAATTTACAGTATAACCTCCAACATGAGTTGCAGAACAAAATGCACTATCCATGTGACATCATTTAGTACTGTGTCAGTATGCAATAGCAGTAAGCACCAATAAGCACACTTATTTTAAAATTAATCTATGCAGTTTGACTGTTTTATTCCTACATAAAGCTGTATGAGCTTTATTCATATATATATGTATATCCAAATAATAATCTCAGCACCTTTAAAAGCACAAGTAAACTGAATTTAAAGATGAGGAATTGTATTGGCATTTTGTGAACAAATTCCATATTTATCTCTTCAGAAATCTATCTCACATAACCAACTTCTCCAGAACTCATAAACATAAGGGACATGAGCAGGAGGAAAGAAGGAAATAGGCATTGCCAAACACCAATATACAAACAGGCAAGAGTTTGTGGAGCTCCAGTTCACATAGTTTTGCTTTGGAACAGCATGGCTAAGCTTTAGAGTACAAGCATTCCACGTAAACATATGTAGATACACACAATTAAAAAAAAATGTGAAAACAAATCAGGTGTTTCTAAAAGCAAATAAAATACAACTCCAAGTTCACACATTATATTTTTCTCAAAATAATCTTACTGCTGGATTGATATCAACTAACATCCAGCTAGGGCTGGTGTAAATTGGCAGAGTTCCATTTAGCTTCAGCAGAGCTAAGGTGATTAACTGCAGCTTAAGAACTATCCCCTTCTATTTTTCACATGAAAATAAGTAGGGCTTCTTTGCAGTGAAAATCTGGATTAATAGTCTGAATTAAGTCTTTCATGTCAAAGAAGAAATGGTTAGTTTTCTTGCAGTAAGCATAGATTTCAGATATGCTGGTCACATGGATTCTGGTTTTTTTTCTTTTTTTTTTTCTTCCTTGAGAGCACCGGCATAAATATATCATGGACTTTGCAAATGTTCCACTTCTGCCCTTGATATTTTTCCCCACTTCTATCCCTGCTGTCTTTTGGGAGAAAATAACTAAATGGACACAGGAGATTTGCCATTTCCCTGCAGACACAGCCTCAGAAGAGCAGGCTGTCAGAGCCACAGAGCTGCTGGCACCACAAAATATGTGCAAACAACTCTATGCAGAACGGCCTTGTTACTGCAGGGTGAGTTATTGTTCTTTCAGCTGCCTGCTCACACAGATCCCCTCCCTCTCAACCCTGAGCAAAAAGCTGTTCAGGCACATGTTCATGTTTGCTAAAACTCATACTCAATTACAGGATAAAGTGATGAACTACAAGGTGCTGGGGAACAAGCCCATTCAGATCACACAGCAATTATCCCAGGGAATAGAAAACCTTAGACAGCAGGATAACAAGGAGTTGGTTGGTACTTAGGAGACACTCTGGAGCTGACAGAAACAGAGAGCCATTTCAGTTGTAGTAAGTAAAACAGTATAGATGTGAGTCACAAAAGACACCAGTGGTTCTATATTGGAGCAGAAGAGCTTCTTTGGGTGAAAGTCAGCCAGTTAATGTACAGACAGCTGAAGGCACAGAGGCTGTGTCCAGACACAGAACACACACACTCTTCCATGAAGCTGCATCAAAAATGTCATTTATGGTGTTGGACTAAACATTTGTCAAGTCATTTGTGAAACTATCAGTCACAGACTCTATGAAAAGATAAGTACACTGCCAGCTGGACCCATCCAGACCCCATGCCCACCCACAGCGTGGTGGGTGGGTATTTAAATATAAATTTAAATATATTAAATATATAAAATATAAATTCAAATACAAGTAGTGGCCCCAGGTGATGGATTCTTGTATAATTCCCATATGCTTCTCAGCTAAGTAGCCAGCTTCATTAATGTAAAAGGGGAGAGGGTTTATTAGCTAAAGGATATATGGCAAAATGCTAAAGGGAAAAAAATACCTAGCTAAGTGCTCTTCTGTGACCCAGATTAATATTCACCAGTACATATCATACAAATACTGATATATGTCTCAAAAATTATGAGGATTCTAACTCAATATACAGTCTTGAAAGTCAATATAAAATACATTTGTCTGTAATATATATAAGAATATAAAATGAAAATATAATTTACTGGATTAAAACAATGAAACATTATTATAAAATTTAACAGCATCATAAAGAAAACTGCTTGGGAGTAAATCAATAAATAATTTAATTCTTCTCTTGACATTTTAGAGCATAACTTAAATGCCACCACAAACTTCCATTATGCTCTTTATTTAATAAACACAAATCAGACTAATTTAATTCACCATGAAAGCTCATTATTTATAAATAATAACTATTACCTTTCTACCTGAAGTAGAATCACAGAAACCAGGGACAGAGTCCGTAGTAGTAGACACAGGGAAGAAAATATTATTGGCGTCATGAGGAAACATGGAGATTTCATTCTGACGGTACATTCTGTGATGACGAAGTTTTGCTACCCATTCATCAAACAGTTCCTGAGATTTCACCTACACAAAATTTCAGGTTTTATAACATTCACATTCAAAAATCACTTACAGAGATACTAAGGTATTTTGTGTTCCTTGGACAAGTAGCCTGGTTGGCCTTTATTGGCAAACTATCAGAAGAGTTTTTCTAAGGATGCTCCTATTAAAAATGCATACTGTATGAGCTTAAGAATGACAGAAAATCACAGGATAAAGTCAGGAAAAAGAGAAACTACAGTTAGTAGTTATGAGTTCCAATGCAGAACACAATAATTAGCAAGTTATACATAAAAACCCCTACAATGTAAAAAACCCCACACAATAAATTTGTCATTTTTTAATTGTCATTGTTAAAGTTAGGTCAAAGAAAACAGAAACTTGATTTTGGTGATGTATTTTAAAACTATTTATTCCACAAGGATAGATAAATCCCCATACTTGACCATGGAAATACTTCTATAGATAAGGCAAAGATACAACTACTGAAAATAAAAGCACTTGTGCAACAAGTGAAAAAAGTGTTAGGTGAAAAGAGTGCTGCTAAACATGAAGCATCTTCAAGGTTTCTGTTCAGAACAATGTTACTGATTCTGGACTCTGAAACAGAATAATAATGCCTCTCAAGTTACAAGTGTAAACTAATCTGCTGAGACTACCAAGTTATTAGTGTAACTAACAGACCTCATGCTATCGAAAAAAGAAACAAAAGGGCTTCATCATACACAGTTATTGTTATTAATTTGGGAACAAGGTTATAACAGTCTTGAAGACCTACCTTCAGATGGTATATCTGCTCTTCTGTATCCAAATCTATACATTTTGTTGATTTCTTTACAGACATGACAGAAAGTCCAACATCAATACAGCCATGAAGTTTTCCTCTCTCTATCTGCAAAAAAGTAAAAATACAATCACTCCAGGATAAAGCAAAAGGATAACCTCCATTCTTTACTGGACATGGGCGGGAATATAGTTATCAAAGATGAGGAAAAGGCTGAGGTATTTAACACCTTCTTTGTCTCAGTTTTCAACAGTAAGACAGGTTGTCCTGAGGACAGCTGGGTTCTGGAGCTTGTAGAAAGAGATAAGAATCTGAATAGCCCCCCTGTGATCCAGGAGGAAACAGTTAGTGACCTGCTGAGCCACTTGGATCCCCACAAGTCTGTGGGACCAGATGGGATCCACCCAAGGGTGATGAGGGAGCTGCTGGGAGAGCTCGCCAAGCCACTGTCCATCATCTACCAACAGTCCTGGCTCACTGGGGAGGTCCCAGATGATTGGAAGTTGGCGAATGTCACGCCCAGCCACAAAAAGGGCCGGAAGGAGGACCCAGGAAACTACAGGCCTGTCAGCCTGACCTCAGTGCCTGGAAAGGTTATGGAGCAGATCATCCTCAGTGCAATCACACAGCACCTACAGGATGGACAAGGGATCAGACCCAGCCAACATGGGTTTAGAGAGGGCAGGTCCTGTCTGACCAACCTGATCTCCTTTTATGATCAGGTGACCCGCCTGGTGGGTGAGGGGAAGGCTGTGGATGTGTCTACCTGGACTTCAGCGAAGTCTTTGACACCATCTCCCACAGCTTTCTCCTGGAAAAGCTGGCAGCCCACAGCTTGGACAGGGGCACTCTGTGCTGGGTTAGGAACTGGCTGGAGGGCCAGGCCCAGAGAGTGAACGGTGCTGCATCCAGTTGGTAGCCGGTCACTAGTGGTGTCCCCCAGGGATCAGTGTTGGGCCCAGTTCTGTTTAATATCTTTATTGATGATTTAGATGAGGGGATTGAGTTCACCATCAGCAAATTTACAGATGACGCCAAGCTGGGGGGGAGTGTCGATCAGCTGGAAGGCAGGAGGGCTCTGCAGAGGGACCTGGACAGGCTGGAGAGTTGGGCTGATTCCAACGGGATGAGGTCCAATAAGACTAAGTGCCGGGTCCTCCACTTTGGCCACAACAACCCCCTGCAGTGCTACAGGCTGGGCACAGAGTGGCTGGACAGTAGCCAGGCAGAAAGGGATCTGGGAGTTTGGATTGACAGGAAGCTGAACATGAGCCAGCAGTGTGCCCAGGTGGCCAAGAAGGCCAATGGCATCCTGGCCTGGATCAGGAACAGTATGGCCAGCAGGAGCAGGGAAGTGATTCTTCCCCTGTACTCAGTGCTGGTGAGGCCACACCTGGAGTACTGTGACCAGTTCTGGGCTCCTCAGTTCAGGAAGGATATTGAGGTGCTGGAGCAGGTCCAGAGAAGAGCAATGAGGCTGGTGAAGGGACTCGAGCACAAGTCCTGTGAGGAGAGGCTGAGGGAGCTGGAGTTGTTTAGCCTGGAGAAGAGGAGGCTCAGGGGAGACCTCATCACTCTCTACAACCACCTGAAAGGAGGTTGTGGCCAGGTGGGGATTGGTCTCTTTTCCAAGGCATCTATCAGTAAGACAAGAGGGCATGGTCTTAAGCTGTGCCAGGGGAGGTTTAGGTTTGGATATTAGGAAGAAATTCTTTCCAGAGAGGGTAATCAGGCATTGGAATGGGCTGCCCAGGGAAGTGGTGGATTCTCTGTCTCTGGATGTTTTTAAGATGAGACTGGATGTGGCACTTAGTGCCATGGTCTAGTAACCATGGCACTAGTGGATTAAGGGTTGGACTTGATGATCTCGGAGGTCCCTTCCAACCCAGCTGATTCTATGATAAATACTACCTGCTGAAACCATAATTTCCTTCCGTCTCAACTTACTGTTTAGAATAGCTGAAACTCTATTTCTCATTGGCAACAATAGGGAACTATTGCTACTTCCAATAAAATAGTGTTGTGTATTTTATAAAGGCCTTAAGGGGTTTCAGATCACTTACATCAGCTTGGCATTTAGAATACTTCAAAATCCCTCTGTCCAAAAAGAAGTATCTCTGTAACCAGAAATGCAGAAAATTAAAAACAAACAAAACAGACACAAAATCCTAAACAGAAAAACACCACAAACACACCCTCCTTCCTTGCCTTTCTTTGGAGAACACTTTCTCTGCTTTTAAGTAACCTTTTTGCCACAAAACCACACCAAGTAAGTCCCACTCAGGTGGCATCAAGTTTTCAGATACACATTTCTTTCCTACCTTGTGCCAGCCTTTCAAAGGCCATTTCCTCTTTTTCAGCAAACAGCCCTCTTGCTTCTGCGGCTCCTGGGTACAATTCATTGCTCCCCGGAGTCCTTCTACAATTTCCCAGCTGTCCTGCTTAAACAGAAAATCCAAATGTAGATCTTATTTCTTCCAAAGAACTGAATTGTTAAGAGAGATTCAAGAAGAAGAAGGCTATAAGAAAAAAAAAAAAACCCAATTGTTGCTGAAATCTAACCAAAGATCCATCTTTGCACTTTTAAATATTTTCCAAGAGATAAGATTATTTTTTATTTTCATAGAAACAATACCAACTCAACAAAACATAATTTTTATGACAACATCCTTCATTGCATCTATGTGCTTACCAGAATGTTATATGTATATTTTCGTGTACATACATACATGCAATGCATAACCACAGCTTAGTCACAAATTAGCGTAAAAAAAATCTTCTGCTATCACAGGCAGAAACAGTCTTATGTTAAAATGATATGTTTTTATAAGTTATAAAGCTAAAAAGAAAAGACACCGAAAATGAAGAACTTTTCTATAAAACTCTTTTGCCCATATTCAGTAAGTCAAAGTTTTTTGCCTGGTGTAAATTGCAGTCTCCCTACAGTAAAAATAATGAAATAAAATATAAATTAAAAAGCCAAGGAAGTAACTTGAGTACTACGAGGAACATGACATAAAGGGAACATGCAAGAAAAATAAAAACCGCCTTTCATCAGATGCAACTGTATTTAAAAGAGAATCTCTCTTTTTTGTCATCAGGAACTCTTAAGTGAAAGACCCCGCAGCAACATAACAGAGAAGAGACTAAATGTCATAATATTTTTACAGTTTTTATTTATGGAACAACTGCAAATGACAATGTAACATGACTTTCAATGTTTCTGATCAGAGATCTCATTAATTAACTATTGCCAGCTACCACAGGGTTTGGCAGATGTAGAACAATAACAACTGACAGGAAATGGTATGTGCTAGTACCATTCTCTTATATTTGAAAAAGACAAAGAATACTTTAACACAGATTGTAATGACAAAAAAAGGACTAGTATGAAACACTTTAGGGAAAACAGAACTATAGCAGGTAGGTAAGTACTCATAGTCCTCCCTGTAAGATACATAGGCAAGTATTCCCAAAAAGAACTTGACTGGCTAAAAAAAAAAAATCTTAAACTAAAAATGAGACAAAACGAAACAAAAATCAGCAAGAGTGCTAATTTTCCTCATTTATCTATCTCCAGAATCCTTAACATTCACTTCTTTAAACTCAGAGAAAAAATTACATCAGGTATTATACTCATTACTTGTGAAACACGGCATTAAAATAAACCATCTTCAAAAACACATTCTTTAATTTCATCATGTTACTGTTGGCACTCCACTACTTCTTTATTATTTTCCTTGTGCTGCACTTAGTGGAACAAACCGGAAAGCTGCTCTGCTCTCCTGTTTTGAGTTCAGTCTCTCAACACGCACTACACGATAAGCCGCAAGCAGTAGAAATGTGGGGCTGAGCAGCTCCTGTCATTCAACATCTCACAGATCACTTGAGAGTGCAGTTGTTCTAACCAAAATTTTTATCAGGGCACACATTTTTTTGTCCCTACAGATCAGTAGGGATATGTCAGTTTATTCCTTGTCACTTTCGTTACAAATAACTTCTTTACTCCCTCTTCCAGTTTAAGAGACATTTTGACATCTCCTTAGATACCATTATTTCTAACCAACAATCATGAAAACATTTTTTTCTATTGAAAATCAGAAGCTACACTCCATATTCTTTATTTTTTTTTTTATTTGTACTACTTTGGGACTCACTTAGAATTCTCAATAATCATGAACCCTTTCCTGCTCTGGGGTAAATTACTATGGATCAGATCAGGGAGCAGAAAAGTTACTCATGGATATCATGAGTCAGAGGGCTGCAGGGAGACAGGAGGCCTCCTGGGCTGTCTCCAGCACATCAATCCAACACCAGCAGCACAATCTGCTGGTCAAGCCCAACAGCACTGGTCTTTCACAGGGTGATGAAGCAGAGAGCCAGTCCGTGCCCAGGCAAGGACAGCTAGCTAGAGTTTGCTAGCTGCTGTTTGACAGCTCCTCAAGTGCAAAGACAGCTCTAAGTCTCCACAATTAAGGATCTTCCCACCACCACCACCTTTTTTTTTTTTTGACAGAACATTCTCATCTACAGTTTTGGAAGCCAAAGAGAAATTATGTTCCACCACCTCTTTTGCCTTAAATTTAAAGGCAACTAAATTTTTTCTGAATGGTCTTGGATTTCTCTTTCCTGTAAAGATTATTTATTAACCCTTATATAATCACAAGGACTGGGACTGTTACGATGACAGAGAGCAGACTTTTTATATATCATCAAATATAATGTAATGCTACAATTTACACTAAGTAACACCTGAAATTCCTGCTGTTTAAATGCCCACATGTGGATAAAATCTCATGTCCTCAGAAAATACGATCTACTAAATAAGCCAATATAAAAAATAATCTTGACATTAGCTGATTTCAAATTGGGGACTTGAATAAAGGCAAACATCTTAAAACATAAGAAACCTGATGGAACTAATGAGAGATAATTCTAACTAAGAACTAACAGGAGCACCTGTGAGATTAAGAGAAATGTTGTGTTAATGGTTTTGTTTCTTTCTTCTCCGAAGTAGCCAGAAGAGCTTAAAAGCTGTTTTGCTCAATTACCAAGCAAGCTATTTCCTTTGTCTTGCCAAACTATATTAAACTGCAGTACCCAAACACCTAAATTTTCCACGGAGAATTAATCTGGTAGTAGTTAAGACTAGCAAACAGTAGATCCTTTTCAATATTCTAGTGTTGTAGCTAACGAAACAACTTCTTCAACTTTGGGATCAAGTTCCCACAGACTTTGGTTAAGCATAATCATAGTATATCATTGATAGATCAGTCTGCTTGCAGGAGGCAAGCAGAAATTTGAGCACAGTCAAAGAAAACATAGTAATCCAGATTCACAGAATCATAGAATATTGTGGGTTGGAAGGTACCTTAAAAATCATCTAGTTCCAGCAGGGACACCTTTCACTAGACCAGGCTGCTCATAGCCCTATCCAGCCTGGCCTTGAACACTTCCAGGGATGGGGGCATCCACAACTTCTCTGGGCAACCTGTTCCAGTTCCTCACAACCTTCACCATAAAGAATGTCCTCCTAACATCTAATCTAAATCTCCACTCTTTTAGTTTAAAACCATTCCCCCTTGTCTTATCAGTATGTGCCTGTGTAAAAATTTGTTCTCCATCTTTTTGGTAAGCTTCCTTTAAGTACTCAAAAAGGCTGCAATGAGATCTTTGTGGAGCCTCATCTTTCTATAAGGATAAGTTTAGAAAAAAAGGACTCCTGAAGTGAGACAGATCCGTGCTATATTCGAGGGTATGAGGTGGAAAAGGAAGCAGCTGAGAAACAGCTCAGCCAATTACACCCACCTGGAATACACACGGTGTTAACAGTTTTGATCAAACTTTAAAATACAGAGCACATCATGGCCTGCATTACAACTCCAATTTTGTCTGGATCTCTCCTGCAGTTCAGACACCAGGTGTCTCACATTCCTGCAGGAAAGCCACACTTATCAGTGCTCTTCAGGTCAGTGAGGTGGCCTAGAATGTGCCTTCACAATTAAAAAGTGTGAAAATGCAAAGAAAAATAGAAGTGGGACCACTGATTCCCATCAAGCAGGCTCAATGATCTGCCAAATCTCAGGTGGTGAAGGCAAGCTTCCAGCTCACCTTTCTGCCCTGGGAACCCCACACTTCAAAGGTAGCTTAGTTGCATTAGAAATTGATCCTCTTAAAAGCTTACGGAATTAACAGTTTGGGGACCCGCTGGGTACATGCAAGGTATAATGATGCATTATCAGCATCTGGTCCTCTTCTGTCGGGGTTGACAGTGGGTCTGTCAGCAGCCTGGCACTTATTGACGAAGCAATCGATGTTGATGAGATCAAAGTATATCCCTGAAAAGAGGATGATACGGAGACTGCAGAGGAATGTAAACAACTCTAAGGAAATATTTACTGCAATGCTGGACAGAACAAACCTAATGCAGCCGAGACCAAAGGTCACCAATCAATGACAGTGTGCACAGTGTCTTCAGTGTCACCAATGAAAGTATGTACAGTGTCTTCTGTGTCACCAATGAAAGTACGTACAGTGTCTTATGCTTGAGACTTTTAACCAATTATGTTGTAGCATGATAGTATACAAAGAGTATAAAAGAAACACTTGAGAGCAATAAACAGCTTCTTGATCACCTTACACCTGGACTATGACTGATATCTGTGTCGCTTCAGCCGTTCCAACAATAACAGCGACACTCTTCCATATACATCCTTCCAGAAGAATAAAACCTATCCCACCTGAACAGCCAAACTCATATTTTCCAAAACACTGCTGCTGTGACTGGTGTTGGATCCATTTGCTTTTGACCCAGACCCTATACATCTTGATTGGGACTTTGATTTGCAAGAGATCTGACACCTTACTGAATGAGGAAAGAGTGTCAGCTGGCTATTGCTGGGAGCAGCTGCAGAAGTGAAAGAAAAATGCTTACTCTCTAAAATGAAGGCAAATGAATCAAGCTGGTTGATTATCATCTGTACTCATCCATCTGAAATAGCAGAGGAGCAAACTGGAGATACAGTATTTCCTGAAAGAATTCAGGTTATGCTGCCTTTTGCTGATTCTTATCCCACAATAGGGAACCGAAAGAGATAGCCCAAACCACAGCACTAACTTAAAAAAACCAAACAATGACACCCCCTCATCTTCCCCCCCCTCAAACCCCCAGACGAATGGCATTAACAATTCTAGCATCAGTCTGATGTCCAGATTGCTTGTGTCTTAAAATTATGACACTACAAAAGATATTTTGCATCATTATGGGCCAAAATCTGCACAAAATGATCAACATTGCATTTCCTGCCCAGGAAGAAATTTTACTCGGGGCTAAGGGAGGAACAAAATCTTTACTTCTCTAAGGTCCAGAAGTGCTCATTTCAGATCAGCACTTAAAAACCACCCTGTAGATGCTACTTGGCCTATACCTGCTCTGTGGATGAGGGGAAAAAACCCATACACTTTGGTCTTCAGAGTTAAGCCCATCATTATGTAAATGTAGTAATTTTCTTCCTTCAATGAGATAAAACCTCCTCATTCTCTGCAATATTCTGCACCAAGTTCCTCAAGGCAAATTATTTCAGGAGAAAGTACGAAGTAATGATTTTGAATGGCTCTCAGACTGATGCTTGCAGTTTCAGCTCCCTGAACAAAACAGACGATAGTGACAGACTTTCTTCCAGTGCAAAATGCAGTCAGTTGTACCAAATATTTTAAAGTGCCAAAAATAGAAACCTGCTTTGTGGAGGATAAGGGTTGGCATCAGCTGCAACTAAAGCATTTGTTATGGTTCATAAAATTGGCAGAAATGATTTCATTTTCTTTTACGGAACATGAGGTTTTTTTAAGTGGTTCTCCTGTCATAAAGCTTTTTCCTAGTGGACCTATTTTAAAAGTTAGTTAACATATTAGACTTAAAAATAACTGCCACAATATATCTTCTTTTGATTACAGGTCAACTTAAATTTGAATAAGATCAACATCAGTTTTCCTTCCTCACAAAATACAGTTTGTTTGTCTCTTCCACATCTTGTGAAAGAGATCTCTTTCCATGATTGAAGGAGAGAGGCAGAGAAAAGCAAAGAGGTGGGAAGTGGCAGTAGCCTCCAACTTGCCATGAGGCTTCAAGATGAAGGTGAACTCAGTGGAAGAGGATTACCTTTTCACCTGTTCAGTTCACACTGCAAGTGTGTTACATCTGGCCTGAAACGGACACCAAATGCAGCAAAAGAAGTAGATCCCTCCAAGTCCTGCAGCCCTGCTTAAGTCAACTCCTTTCTAGCACAGTGGCCCATTTTCTGCATCACAGGCCTCATGGTCCACATCAGCAGCATACCAACACATAACTAAATTTTAGCAGACTCAGCAACCTTGCACTACTGTGGTTCCATATCCCGATCTCAGGTCACTTGGTGCTAATGTACACCAGCAACAGAGTCTGTGCCTAGGAAATCAGAGAGACTCAAAACTCTGATCCTGCTGTTTTCCGGGCAAACCTCCCCCCACTTCAACTTTCCTCCCCCCTACACTTTTCAGAATTTCTTTCTACTTAACCAGATTCAAAGAACTGCTGTGTCAGAGCAGCAGCACAGAGAAAAGCACCTGTCAGACAGATCTGTTGCTAACCTGCAAGCCACAAGCCTAGTTCTGAAGGTGCCTGAGAGAGACACAGGTGTCTGAAGGAGGAATAATCAGCCCTCCATGAAGAAGGAGAACAAAGATGAAGGAAAGAATATCAAAATCATAGCATATCACTCTAACCTGCACAGCACACAGCAATATCATTTAAACTTTCAGGATACTATTAATAAAAAAGTATCAGTAACCATGTTACATTCTACTAGTCCATCAGCATTTTGAAACAAAAAAAACCCCCAAAAAACAAATCCAAACAAACAGACAAAAACCTGCTGGAAGTTGTTGCACATGCGGTCCTTTTTGGATTAGAGGATTTTTAACAGTTTTTATAGAACTTGAGATTGTTGCTGTTTTCTTAACAGAACACTTAAAGTGCTGTCATTTAAACTAATATACAGATGGAAAGGGCAAATTAAATAACCCTCAGGCATTGGCATCACTCATTCCCAGTCCTGTCAGCCCTGTGTAGGTGGGTGTTAGCAGGGACAGACTACAAAGCTCCAGTTTGCCAATACAAGAAACAGAAAAGAAGCAATTAGTGATATAAACCAAACTACTCAATCTGGCATGACAAGAAATCCTCTGTGGAAAGAGGGGAGCAAAGGGACAGGACACAAGAAAGATCTCAACATCCTCACTGCCCGCACCAATAATTAGATTTTATAATATATGCTATACTATATGGTTTGCACCACTGAAGAGAGGGTCTATCTAGCAGGGTAAAGATCTGTACAATCTATAAGACCAGAGCCTTCTTGAGAACAGGAACAGGGACAAGACATCTGTTCCTCACCAAAGCACTGCAGTGTCCAGACCAGTATGTCTGGCAGAGTACTGCCTCTGTTAGACCTAAAGGTCCATCTTCCCACAAGCAGCACAGAAGAGTATAGCCAATAAAACATTCACTGAAACATGCTACTATCACGAATTATAATTAACAAATAAATTCAAAAAGTAAGGTAAAATGACCCATAGACATTACTTTCAAGTAAATATCCAAAGTGCATAACACACAGCATGTTTAAATCTTATTAAAGATATTTAAAGCTTTTTTTTTTCTTTAAGTCTTATCTTATTTAATCTCTTTTCCCCAGCAAAACAGTTTGCTGTGTAAACTGCAAGACAACTTCAGTTTGAAAAAACAGCCACGTGAAAAACACCAAAACCATCAGGGAATTTAAGAAGGAACAGCAATACGCAGCCATGCACATAAACACTGACAATGCTGAAATGAACTCTAATCTAGAATTTTTTTTCCCGTTCTAAATTTCACTACTTTGAAGTAAGATCTCTACATCACTTCAAGAGTTGCAAACAAAGTTATAGGATAAGGTAGAGAGTTATTACACTTGGTAAAGAAGGAAACAGAGAAATTATTAAAGTATTCCTTGCAGATATTAGAAATCTCTATTTAAAAAATAAAAAAATATCATAAATACCAGTGTAACCTTAAAAAGTGCACATAATTTCTGGAAAATATGTTTGTAAATTTTCAGACTGTATGGAAAAAGCAAGCAAGCAGAGCTCTTAGCTCTGCTTAGTGGTCACTTCCCATCATATAACAAGTCACACAAACTCCCTGAGGTCTGTAGTTTGCCTCTATCATCATCACTGCCTAGAAATATGGACAATCGGTCAACCCGTGTAGGTTCCCCAGTGAAAAAGTATATTGTTATTTATACTTGGTAATGCAATCATTGGCCATGAAATGTTTAATAAGGAAACACTGATCTAAGTGGAGATATTTATCACAACACCCCATAGTATCACAAACAAATATCAATTGTATTGCCCTTCATTATACATTGGGAAACAATCTGCCTTATAACTCCATTTAGCTTGACTTGAGAGGTCTATAAGGCCATTTACCATCTGCCTGACTCCCATGAACGAGCACGGATGTTCCAGGAATACACACAAAACACCAAGCTGCGTCTCTCACCTTGCTCAGGTACACCTTGCTTTTTTGCACAAGGGTCAAAGACTAAAAAATTGGGGATTGACAAGACGACATTAAAACTTACTGAATTTTTCCTTTTCTCCAAACAGAGCAGGTGAGAACAAAACGGATAAGAAATGGGACCCACTAAGAATAGTCTCAAAAGCCCAAGCTAGCCAACAGATTTTATCATGTTAAACAGCAGTAAGAGAGGTTCTTGCAGAAATTGCTTCTGCATAAGTATGGTTGCTCATACGGCTGTGTAACACACCAGTGGATTTAATCATGCTCACATAAATCTTATTATTTAAATACTATATGATAACATTTGATAGACATGAACTGTTGAAGCAGACAATACAAAATCTTTTAAATTACACTTTTTAAAGGTAATCTCATACAGATGATGTGAAAAATAATGCTGCAGGAAAACAAAAAAAGAAATCCTGAAAGCAGGGATTTCATTGTTTAATATACTAGAACAGCACTTTAAAAGGCATAAATTGTCCAGAGATTTGTCTGCCTTGCCAACTGTATGTACAGGGCCAGAAGTCCCAGAAAAGCAGGTGCTGTTTCGAAACACAGCTGAGGTCTCCAAAGCTTTTGGGGGATTGGAATGCTCAATTCCAATTAAAATTTCAGCCTGAGGCAGCTTCAAGAGCTCCACTAAGCCAGCACTCACAAAGATAAAAGTTTATGTTGAGCATATTGCTCACGATTTTGCAAGCATGGATTGACCATGTTTAAGCTTAATTTTCAGTGTGGCTGCAGGTCAGTGTTTCTTGCCCACAAACAAAAGCAGCCTCACCTGTCAGGTGCTAACACTTGTAGACATGTCTTTTGAAATGGAGAGGTTTAAAGAATAGCATCATCTCTGCGGAAAACAAAGCAACCTTTACCTTAGGCACCCAGATGCATAGTGTTACATGAATACTTATTTTCCTATCTAAGATCTACAGCAACAACCTGCACAAATGGGCATTCAAAGAGGCCTATGTCAGGTTTCTGAAAAATGCATTATCTTTCACACATGCATGCACACCTTTTCCTGGAAACTTGAAATAAACAGAGCGGTTACACAATATTCTATCACAAAAGTAGTATCTTACAAGGAAGATTTGGGATTTCAGGATCAAACCACTGAGACCAAGACACTACAGAAGCTCTATTTCACTATAAAAACACCATACATACAACATGACAGAAATCAAAATTTACTGCTAGCATTCCAGTTTTACACATGCGTGCTGTTCAGTAATGTGTGTTTACTGCATTTGACTCAGAGCAAGATGATGTTACCAACAAAAAATTTTTAAAAAAAAGAGAGTAAGGAAAGCAAAGACATCATGAAATAAAACAAGTAAGCATCAGGAAAGCAGAGTTTAAGAGATTTGCCAGTATTCAAAACCAAAAGTAACATCAATTTTAGCAATGCTTTGATTTTGGATAAAAAAGCTTGCATTACCTGTCGACTTCCCTGCTTGGAGGAGCAGCTGCTAGTACTTCTTGAAGGAGACAACATTTTCTGGGATGCACCAAAGTTTTTTTCTTCACTCATGATCCAAAACTATTTGTTTCACATAAGCTCACTTAGAACACCATTAGAAGGTAATTTAGAAAATGCGTTGGAAGACTCCTCAGAGAAACACTGAACTCATCCTTTACCCAAATGCAGTCCAGTGGCAGGATCTGCATTCCATGGAAAATCCTAAAAGGGAAAAGCAAAACAAAAAGCCAAGTTATCGGATGCTGTCGCCTACTGTCATCCTGTAGAATGAATCATAATAAAGCCTTTGGTAATACAAGATGAGCACATTGCTGTACATTATAAGACATTAATTCAACAATCACTTTAAGATAAATTTGCAAGTCTCAAACAGGAATTACATGAATTTTGGATCCTAAACACGTTTTAATTGTGTGATTTATTCAGAGGACAAAGTACAGCATCAAGCATGTTTTTACAGATTTAAAGTAATTAAAAGAGATTAATAAAGACAAGCAAAGAGAATAATAAATACCTATATGAAATGGACCAAAATAGACTCATAATGAGAACAAAACATCTAATAAAATGTCTCATTAAAAAGATGGTGTATAATCAAAAATATAGCTCTTTTTCTCAGCTCCTTGATAATTTAAACAAGTAAGCATGGCTTCAGGTTGTAAGGAAAAAAAAACCCTCTATACAAATAAAGAGGAATACCTAAAAGTAGTGAGCATGAAAATTCAGCTGCATAGAGCTGTACATGACTACTTTTACCTGGAATCAGAAAGTAGTAACAACTATCACATCAGTTGTCTCAGTTAGTGACTGGAAGAATAATTAACATTCTGTTTAATAACAGTGCTTCTTGCAGCATATGGAAATAAAAGCCATGCCAGAAACTTGCAATAACAGATTTCCAGTGTGGGCAAGAGTTGTCATGGTAACTGCATATTTTTTAAAAAAAAACAAGCAGAGGATATGAAAAGAGGGTGATGCTTTCCAAAACTTGGGGTGGCAGAGAAGCTGTATAAATTGTATATCACTTTGAATTTTATTGTCTCAGGCAAGGAATTTGCAATTAGAAAGAGTCCAAGAAGCACTAATGAGAAAGGTGAGGAAGGTAAGGGAGTTTACACAAAGAAAAGGGAAATTTCATTTCCAAAACTGGAGGCACTACTTCACAATTCTCTTGCTTGCACTGTCACAACAGTCCTGAACTAGGATCACTGTTTATTGAAGTTTGCCATTCATTTTTTCTTGAAGAGGCTTAAAAACCTATTCTGAGAGAAGTAGCATTTTCAGATCCCTAGTAAAACACTTTAGATGTTTTAAGAACTCATTTCCCTTTTAAAAAAAACCAACCAACCAACCAAAAAAAATCAGATCAAAGGCCACAGACAAAAAAACCAAGCCCAGAACACACAATTAAAACCAGGTGCTATATTTAAGATGAAGATAACACTCTGCAGCAAAAAACCTCTCTCCCTATGGCTGTAGTCTGAAGCATCCAACTTCTGAACACAGACCTTTTCCAATCTACACTGCCTTTCTCGCAATACAGTTCGCCGTAACATTTCCATCAACATGCCCTCTTTTCACCTGAAACACGGTCTCTATGGCATTTACTTTACCTAGTTAGAAATACTGTCTTACCACCAGAGCAAATCCGTGCTCAGCAACAGTAATGATACAGCCCCAGCCTCCCCAAGTGAGGTGAGAGCTCTCCTGGGGCCCTTCCACTGGTGAGTCAGCTTGGCAAATATTCCAGGAACCATCAGACAGCTGCAAAGCCAGGAGCACGAGGCAAGGCCGAAGAAAACAGAACAGCAATGTGATAGCAAGGTCTGCATGATTTGGGCCCAGCACGTGGACTTTATATTGAAATTATGACTGAGATTAGGAGTAGTGCATTTTGGAGAAGGTATATTCGCTTCCTATCTGGAATATTAATTTGTGTGGCATTTCATTACAGACTTTTAACAGGTTTAGATTTACCTCACTTCATTTTTTTTAAAACAGTTTTAGAAGTATCTCAGTTTTTTAAATGCGGAATAAGTATAAAAGATAACTTCCTTCCTTACTTGCAAGCTTCATTTAGCAAAATAGTTGAATGGTAATATCTGTATTAACAAACAGAGGTCAAATATTCATAGCAGAAACAGAAACACTCTTCCTGTAAACTCGTTGTTCAGATACCCCCTTGAAAGTACCAGGCAACAAGTGCTTTACTTTCGGGACACACTGTTTGCTTAGATAACCTCTCCTCTTCACTGCTCCATATTCAGAATGAGCACCTTGTTACAGCTTTCATTGGTGGCTATCTAGCATTTTGGCAATGACTGGCATAGTTCATGGCAAGAAACAGGCTCTAATTTGCAGCAAAATGCACTGAAAATTACTGCCATCAGTACCTTGCAGGTATATCTCCAGGACACACTACATTTAAGATATACAATGCCCTTTGTCTGTTTGAACACACAGCACAATAGTTGTGTATTGACAAGTAACTCAAAACAACCAGAGGTCTCATGGACTTTGGCACAAAGAGAAGCCATATAATTAGGGGAGTATTACTATCATCATGTTTTTGTGTGTAGTCCAAATGAAGTTAAGGTTTGGCTACATTACCATTTTAGGACAGAGCAGAGGGGCACTTTAACTGCAATCCATTTGGGTTTCAACTGCAGGGCAATCTTAGAACATGGAAACCAAATCCCTTTTGGATTAAATATGCTCCAAGAGCGCATCCAGTGCTCAAAAGCATTAAGCCTATAACACCTGACTAGAGTTAGTCCTGACTAGTCTCATCCAGGGGTCGATGTTGGCTCTTCACCTTTAACTGGATGACTAAAGGATCCACTTTTGCTGCACTGTTCTACACACTAACATTGACATCATATATACACAGACTTACACCACCTAAGAAAGTAAGTACTTAAGATCTCCGAAGGCATTGTCATTTGTCCTTTTGGAAACAAAAAGAGCGAGATGGGCACTTTTCCAGAATTCAAATGAGCTGAAGATGACTCACTACTAAACCAGGAGTAGGAGACAGGTGGGGTAAATTTGGCAGAGAGCACCTGAAGGATTTTGTCAGTCTGCTTCCAAAATTGGGCTTTTGAATTTTCCTTTATTCCTTCAAATTCATTACTGCATGGGCTGAAGGAAAGGCTTTTGTTACCAACCCTGAAAAACGCAGGAGTGAAATATGCCCTCTCCACAATGCTTTATTTTATTACTGTTTCCCAGTAATTTAACTTATTACCTTGAGACTTCCAGATCTAAACATGAAAGTGTATGTGAATAATGATCATGGCCACAACTCCTTCGTGAAAACTGCTACATGCTCCAGCAACTACTTTGTACTCCTCTTTCAACATTCTCTTCAGGAAGACAAAAACGTCCCTGTGGCTGCTCTTCAACTATTGAGTCACTTATTCTTCCAGGAAGGTGAGAAAACACTGATCCTGCATCCCAAGTTGACTTTCACATTCTGGCTTCCAGCAGCAGTGATCGGGCCTCTTGAGGGCAACTGATATTTTACATTACCTGTGGAACTTAAGGCCACCAGGTACAAGAGCAATTGCAAGTTTAAAGCAGGCATAAAATCAGTGTTATGCTAACTAAGCTAAGATTGCAACTAAAGTTGATGTTTTGAGGTCATCATGACACAATCGCTTCAGGTTCTTTACAATTTGCTCCTCTTCATGCCACAGGATGGCCTCAGAACTATATTTCTTCACACATTTCTCTGGAGCACACAAAGCCACTTTGGTCTACTCCAAAAAGATAAATCAAAGGTGTGGGGCTGAGGCAAAACTAAATAAATTTAGGACAGTAGTTTTCACAGTACAGCTAAGTATTGTCCTAATTCTTGGCTATAAAGTCAACAGCTGCAAAAGTAGGACAAGAGTACTTCTGCAAATGACCTCACCAGGTGCATTTTAACCAAGTAAGAATACATGAATATCAAATATTACTTACAGCTACTACATCCTAAACCCATAAACAGCACTTATCTCTACTTATCATCTGTTACTAAGAGCCTTATTCTGCATCAATTAAAGCTAATGTAAACATACGATATTATGTAAAACAGTAATACCTTTTTTTTTATTTTAAAGTACCATCCCAGGTTGTCCTCAAACCTTTTAAATTGCAAGGGTTCAAAGCAGCCTCTCAGTATCATGTTTCATCTCTCACAACTCTCTAAGCAATAAGCTTACAGAAAAATCCAAGATTTTCCACATCTCACAAAAGAAGAGAAAGCAAAATTCAGAAAAGAAATATGTAAAACTGCAGTAAAAAAAAATTAACATTGGGCAATTATTTTTGCTATGGTTCTGGAAGAAAAATAAAGTCTTAACAGCTGCTTCAGAGCTGATTTAGCAGTGAAGGAACACTGTAGAGATTTTGAGCAACAAAACTGGAAGCGTACATCTCATTCTATAACTGTAGTCAATTAAGGTTTTGTGGATAGAAGAATAGGAACAGCAGAAAGCCTGATGAGAGTCAGGTGGGTACAGCAAGCACAGAACTGAGCAATCCAAATCAGAGTTGCAAGCAACATTGAGCGACTTTCACAGAATTAAAAAAGAATTTGTGCTGAAACCTTTGCTCTGTAGCTATTATTAAATTACATTAACTCATGTTTGCCTGGATAAACAAAGCAATAATCTTTTCCAAGTATTGCTTTCATGTCTTTCTCTGTTATACTTCAATTTGCCAGCTTTAATCTATTCTGGTGTCTCATCTGGCTCAAAATAGGAAAGAATTATTTATAGACTACAGATACACCACGTACAAGCATGGGAGATGTCTTTTCAAGGCAGGTATTTGCTGTTCCTGAATTACCATAAGATTCGTTCTATTCAAGGTTAAAGCGCACAAATTCTGTTCTGTCGCTAGCTGTTCTCTTTACAAAAGGAAACTTGCAGAAACAAACATAAAACAGTTTAAAACAACTAGGTTATTAAATCTATCTTTGAAAGCAAAAGTTCAAACAGCTTAGGAAGACTAACAATAACAGGAAGCATTTCAGAACTGCTCTCCATCAGATAAGTGCTCGCCAAAGTCGTAACCTTTCTTGAGCAGATGCTTTCATCAGCCATAAACAAATACTACTCTGAAGTAGTCCGAGATGCAAAGAAACAGTTTCATTCAGCCTGCCTCCTTAGGAAGGCTATTGTAGCAATTAATCATGCTATTTCAGTGACCCA